TTTAAGGTCATCAAGTCCAACCACAAGGCATACAGAACACACTGATGAGCAGATTGCCACTCTTGGTTTTGTTTGCTCTTCTGGAATGTTTTTCTCCAAGCCCTTTGGTGCACAGTGTCCCAGTTTCCTGATGGTTTAACATCTGCTTTACGTACTGCCACACCTTTCTGATTCCTTGACATAAACGTGGTATTTGTGTATGCTAAATGTTGGTAGCTGATAAGTGATCCAAACAATCCAGGAAAAGACAATGAGATCAGCAAGTGCTGAACTTGGAGATTTGTTTTTCGAGTTCTACAACCTTAATGCTAATACGTGCAAGAAGAACCTTGTTTAAATCAGATCTGTGTTGGTTTTCCATCTGCAGTTTTATATAGTATTTCTGTAATGCTTTTACAGAGGGGTAATCTTGTTTTATGTTCTGCAGATTTCATTTACAAACCTCGTGTCAGTAGATGAGAGGCTTGTCTATAAACCACACCCTCACGAACCAGACAAGTGAGTACCTCTTCCTTCTGAGACTGCCCGAGGGAGAGCAGACTTTGGCTCTGTAAATTGCCTTGGTCTTCCTTATAGAGGATGATGCAGCGGGGTTTGTGTGACTTCTGTTGTGCTGTCTTGGCTGAAAAGAGATAATATACTGTCACTTTAGCTACACTGCTTCTGGAGAGCACTACAGGGAACGTGAATGTCATGGCACAGTGGAGCCCAGTTCAGCTCACTTGTTCAAGCAGTTCTGCTGCATCCTGCATGTAGCTGAGCATATCTGTGTGTCTTCACTTAACAGCTCTGAGGTTTGATCCCTTCATCAGTCCAAGCACAAAACTGTACACCACACATTTATCTTCCTCTATTTTATCATTTTGGAGAACATTATTGTATAATCAATGGATATCAAGATGTTACAATCACAATATAATCAAGAGAGTTGGGCAAAGTGGACAATGATAACAAAAGAATAAAATAGAAGACTTACCCTTATGCTGGGCTCACCACAAAGCACCAATAGAGGCAATCTCCAGAAGAGATCCTTCCCCACTGGCAGCCAGCTCTTAAATAGGTCTAGGAGGGGTGCAGCCAGGCTCCACCCCTTCTGGTAGCACAGAATTGCCTTCAGCTGTGCTCCTCTGGCTGGCTCATGGCTCACCTCAGGTGATCAATCAGAGGTTCAGGCCGTGACTCAGTAGTTCCCATACAATTATTCATCTGTTTAAGGCAACTGCAAAGAGTGCTGAATCTGTACTTCTAGAATTAGTGAAGACTTTTTGCCTATGGCCATGGGAAAGGCTAAAACCCACTGTTACAGGAGTTATGTTAATACTGTTTTTTTCCAGTGTATCTTCCCATTTGCTCTGTGTGCTCTAACTGCTGGCTGCTGACGTTGGAAATAGCTGAGTGCTACAAAGAGTCACTTGGACTTAGTGGGGACTCCTGGCTTTTGTTTCACGATAGAACTAAGTGCACTTAAGCAACTGAGAGGGGGTTGTGCTCCCAGCAAAGGCAATGGCAGTGTCCTTGTTGGGGCAGAGCAGGAAGCCTTCGGGCAATGCACTGCTTTGAACTACTCTGCACAATTCACTTTCTGTTCTATTTCAGAACCATTTTGACACAAGAAGCAATAATATCTGTGAAAGGTGTCAGTCTTAGCAGTTACCTAGAGGGATTAATGGCAAACACGATTTCTTCCAATGCTAATAAAGTAAGTATGAGCTCTGTGTAACGTGTGACCACTGGCTAAATGGCAGTGCAAATCTCTGTATTACTTTTTGGCTTTGTCAGCAGTCTTAGGATACAAGTAGTTCTACTGTCTGTACTGTAGATTCCTGAATGCTCAGCCTTTTGAACTCGCTCTTTTTTTCTCCTTGCAAATGTGGATAATAAATCCTATTGGCAAGTGCTCTGAATCTTCATTGGAAAAGCATTTCCATTCACTTAAGCCTCTCACTCCTTGGCTGCCCTCCTGATGCCATCTGTGAGGTTTGCTATTGAGAAGGAACGCATCAAAACTCATCTGCAGCAGTGATGTGGAGCAATGAAGTGGTGTTTGAAGGATTGTTCTTTGTGAATCTTTTCAGAGTTTACCCTTTGAGTTCAGCCTCAAGAATGATAAAACACAAACTGAATAAGAAGCCACTTTGTGCTTCATTAACACAGCACTGCTGACATAAGGAATATTCTTGGTTTGAGCCAGCACATCTTTCTGTGTTAGTCAGGTTTCTGAAGTAAAGAATGTCACAAAGCTGTGTATTTCTTTACCTTTGCTTGGATCGTTGCTAGGATTCATACACTAAAGCCTATTTTTTCTAACCTGTAGGGCCGTGAAGCATTGGAATGGGTAATAAATAGACTCAATGCTGAAATTGAGGAGTTCACAGCTTCAGCAAGAGGAACGATGAGGAATTCAATGGCAGCAGCAGCATTTGTAGAGAAATGATAGTAAATATATTTGTGTTATTAACAAGGTTTAGCAATCTAAAGCTTCTCTCCAAACGTAAATATATATTATTTAAGGGCATACCTATGTATTAGGTATGTTTCAAGTTTTAATTTGGAGAAAAGCTAAGTTCTTACTAATGAGGCTGATTGGCAAAGCTTAATTAATATATTGGTTCAGCTGGACCGAACTTCAATTGCAGATGAAGAAATAATTTTCAAGTATTCCTGTATTTACATGAACACTAACTTATAATACTTCAGACCTGAAATGGCCTCGTTTAGAGGTGAGGCTGTATATGTTGAAGGAGACTGGCATGTTTGGTTGACTTCTGTGGAACTTTTGTTTTTGTGTGACTTATGGACTACCTCTTGGGACCAAGCCCAACATTAACAGAAGGTTTGTTCCAGCATTGTCCTATTTGTTAAGCATTGACAGTTGTGTCATACAACTCGGTTTAACAGAAAGTTTATTACTTGAAGCTTGAAAAACAAAAGAATGTAGAAAATATTTTTATATGCTTTTTAACTAGTTTAACTAGTTGAGCTAACCTGGTACTCTATTATTTTTCGGTCAGTATAGGTAAAACATTCAGAAGTGTCTCTTATCTGCTAACACCTAAATTCTGTTCCTAAGTTTGACACTGCTGGGCTGGAAACGCAGAAATCTGAGATAAGTTTTATCTTAAACTTACAGAATAACTCCATTTCTAGGAGCCCACTAAACAAAGGGGTACAATATGCACTGAGCCTTAACAATTTCATAAGCTGATGGCGCTTCTGAGAATAGCAGCTGTTCACTCCAGAATTTCAAAGTATTGTGTAAAGGACTAAAAAGTGTTGAAGCTGGGTAGAGATACCTGAGCATGAAAGGAAGTAATATTAAGAACACTAACAATATACTCATTAACTTGATCATGCTCTGGAAGTAACTTGTTACACAACAAAGGGCAACGATTTCTTGTCCTTTAAACGCTGTGTTCTGAGTTCCAGAAGGTCCTTTACATTTTAGGCTTATTTGCTCACAAAATAAGGCTCTTTAAGGGAAAACCTGAAGTTTTCTACACTTTTCTTTCCTGGTACTTATTACAGATTCTCGGTACTGACTTCAGTGATTAGCTGTGGGAATTTCAAGCTCAGACCCTGACATTTGTACTTAAATAATACACAGTTTGCTGGTGGTCCTATTGACTTCAGTAGAGGCTGCCTGTCCCATCTGACTCCTTTGATGTGAAAAAATAATGGGAAAACACAGCCCCAAGTCAGCTGGGTCCTTCATTCTGGTGCCAGAGACATTTCCTGCAATTTTGATTCTAAGCTTACAAGTAATCTCAGTACTCTCTTAACCTTTAAGAACTGTAATGTCACCTGTTCCAGCATATTTCATGTTGCATGCCATTTCTGTTATGTGCAACTGCCCATTGAATAGTATCTGCTATGTAAACAGCTTATTTTAAGTGGGAAACTTAGAGGGGGGCGGAAAATAATGAGTTTGGGGGGAAAAAAAGAGGTATGTATGTATACACCTTTTAAAAGTTTAACTATTCTAAATATTTTTCTAAAACAAATGATTTGAAAATACCTTTATAAACTGAAATAATTGTGGTTTCTTGTGCTTTTACAGAAGGTTATTGCAGCTGAAATAGCATTTCAACTTAAGTGTGTTTGAAACTTCTGCAAAACCGTACTGTAACTTCTGATTAAAAAATGCAGCGCTTAAAAGTGACTTCAAATATTTGTTCAGCCTTCAGCATCACTTGCCATTTTAAAGTCAGTTTTATCTTTTCCTAGTTTTTGTGCACTAAGGGCCTACACAGTACGAATTCAGTTTGTCCTTGCACTGAAAAAGAACTTCAGACTACTTAATTTTTGCAGGCATTCAACAACTTCTTGGAAGATCGTGATTTATTTTGTGCTATTTTATTTATATGCCTGCACTCATTATTCCAAGGGATATTGCTTTCTGTATGTGCTTGGTTTTTTATTTTAAATAAAATGTTAGCTGCGTTCTGCCTAGTTCCTCAAACTGTGTTCTATTCATTTCTTTTAATTGCTAGAGTATTAATCTGGGTGGGGCATGGAGCTGAAGGAATAGTCCAGGGTTAATAGCTTATTTTATTCAGATGTGTATCTTATAGTATACATTTGTAAGTGGCAATAAATCAAACCTGTTTGCAGCTGCTGTGGTCTTTCTTGCTCTTTTATAACTAACCACTTTTTTCCACCAATCTCACACATTAACTAGTGACCAAATTTCAGTTTGTTAGATCACAGGGGAAGGTTTTTGCTCCTTAGACTGAGCTCTGTACACTTCAGCTGTCAAGGAGTATGTCTCTCTACATGGAACCTCATACTGTTAAGAGCAGAAGGTTGCTTGAGTCTGTACAGTCATGGAACAGTCTGGTTGTTTACTCACAGTGGTCATAAGAGGAGACTTCACCTAAAGAAGCTTTGTTTGATTTGGTGTGATGGGCTGTGCAGCAACTACACACCTTGTGCCATCAGAGAAGGAAGTGTGAGCACTGCTATCAGATGGTTTCTTTGCTAGCTGCCTGCATAGCTGTGTCATGGCTGGCAATGCTCAGGTGAATGCAGGGTGCTGTGGCTGAATGCTTTGATGCTGCAGTGAATGTGATGTTTGCTTGTGCAGAGCAGCTGTGCATTCTGCTGGTCAGAACTAATGAGGCAGGTGGGAAAGAAAATGGAATTACAATTGGAGGGACAAAATTTAAGGGCTAGAAAGAAAGAAAGGGGGTGGGAGAGGGATAGAGGAATATGATGAGAACAAATCAGCAGTGGGTCTGGATCATTACTTCTTTCAGCTTACCTAAGTGGATTCATTCTTCACCTCACCTGCATATGCTGTTAAAGTGGACAAACTTCAAGCTCAACTGAATAACTTTTCTAACAAACAGAAGTGAGTAAGCTTTAGATCCAAAGCTCATGGCCTGGAGAAGGTGATAAGATGACTTATTACACTGTTCACTTGAATTTTTAACTAAGTTAGAAATCATTAGCTATTGTTGCTATTCATTGTTTTAAATGTTTTGAAAAAACAATGTGTAAAAGATTTTTGCTCACATATGATATAAGAATTGGTGATACTAGTAGTGGAATTTTGGTGTTAACTTAGTACAGGAAATTGCACTTTTCTGGTCCTAAGGATTTTTACTCTAAATTATACCTAACTTGTTCTTCACTTCTTCATTCACACATGCTGGAGACAGCTAAAGTAACAACTTGTTTCATATTACTTGCAAGGTGTTCTAAGAAGATCTGTTGGGTTTGTAACCTCTCTGTGCTGTGTAGTTGCCCAGCTTCCATGCACCCATCTGCACTGAAAGAGCATTACTGCTATAAAAACTGTGCCAGAACCTGCACTTGGGACTCAGTCATGCTGTATAGTCACCTTGTATTTTGAATTATCTAGCTGAAGTAGTAAAAGCATTTAACTTTCTTAGCCTGATATTCCGCCCATTTTATTTTCTCTCTTTTTAATCCTCAGTTTTGAGAGACATTCAGCAAGCTACACGATTTCCCCTTACTTCTTCTGGGCAGGGGGAGGAAAGGGGGGGGGAGGAATGGAGTAGGGTGGTATTGCACAGATGATGTTATTTCCTAGTCTGTAAAGAGAAATGCAATAATGGTGCTTATTTAACTAGGATCACAGAATCATAGGGGCTGGAAGGGACCTCCAGAGATCATAGAGTCCAGGTTCCCTACAGCAGGATCCTAAGTCAGCCTAACCTTTCAAAGAAACAGAAGCACCTGTAAGACTTAAAACTTCTGAAAAAGCGCCCCAGCCCTGGCTGCCACCTCCATGCGTTTTAAAGTTTGATTCAACACTGTAACAGACTGTAGACAGAAAGTTTTAGGTTATTATGCTATTTTATCATAACATTCAAGAAAAAGCTAGCAAGCACATCAAAACATGTACAAAATCATGCACAACATTCTTAGACCTTGAATGTACCTGAATTCTTCTCTGCGGATCCTGGGCTCCTCCAGAGACTTTATTCCCAGATGGGCAGCTAAGACTTGGCAGACCCTGCAAAATATTTTCAACTTGAATCCAGATGTCCAGAAGTTAAAAATAAGTTTCCTCATCTGCTTCATCAAATAACCTTCAAAATGTAATAGAAAACAACACAGAAGTGCAACTTTATTTTAAGATTAGAGCTGATTTTGGAGCATGTTTTCTGCTGTGCTCTGTGCTTAGTGCTGTGCTTAAACAAAGAGGAGATTTAATAGGAGATGACCTTTATTGTCATCAGCATGCCATGATTTCCAGTAGCTGTGGAGCAGATTAGGGTCATCAGCAGAGAGAACAGCAGAGCATTAGCAGCATAGCCCAATACGGCTTACACAAGCAGAGAAAGGAGATAAATCCACAGCTATCAAAGGTAGGAAGTATGACTACTGATCTGTATATTTTATACAATAGTAACTGTAATTCCATGTTTCTTGACAGTGTTATTTCATAGAAAAATAGGCAATAACCTTATGGATTTAAGGCATAAAGAATGCAGTGAAGGGGTAATGGCTCTTATAATCTGTTGGAAGTCATTGATACTGGCTTTTCTTTCTACTGTAATTTTCCTTCTGTGCAATTATTTTTCTTTCCTATACAATGTACTTGAGAAACTTTATAAGATTAGAGATAAAGTCAGTCACCAAGAAAGCAGTTGTTAAACAACAAGGGCTTTTTTAAGGAACTACTTAGTTTTATTTTCTTACTGTGAGCAGAGGACAGCATACAAAGATGCATCAAGAAAGATTTGTGTGCTCTGCCTTCTCATCTACAGATACTGACAAAATTACAACCACGCTGCATGAGCTCTGAAGTTACAGATACACTATGAATACACATTCAGGTGCATTCATGAACTATTTCAGATCTCATCATTGGCACATATCAGCTTTTTTTTTTTTTTTTTTTTTAACTCTGTTTATTTTTGTCTTGTGTTAAACCCCCACTTTTAATATTTACACAGTAAAACATTATTCCTGTCACCTTCAGTCTGTGTTCAGCAGACACTTGCCTCTAAAAGGTGACCTGAGTGGGAGTGCTGGTGATTATGCTAAATCCGTTATACATGCAGCAGTTGTGTAATAACAGCAAAGCCTGGATGTATTCACCTGAGAAAAGGCAGTCTCCTGTTGCTATATCCACTTCCTTGGTCCACAAAATACTCCTGGGATAACTTTCTGAGGAACTCTGTGCCATCTTCTGCCTATGACTGGAAAAACAACAGGGTTCAACTACTGTTTTACAACAGTCTTGAGATGAGAAGGCAGCAGCTGCAGATCAGCTTCTTGATCCACTCGTACTATAATTAGGTGTACCTTTTTGAACTAAAATATCAGCTGTTCCATTTCTGTTTTAATTAATGCCTCCATTCTATCTCTGTAATGTTATTCATCAATTCAAGCTTACCACAACCTAAAAATTACTGTCGTTACAGTTCAAGTTTTATGCCCAGAGGTACAAAATTAAAATAATAAAATAAGACCTCACATTACCTAAAACCAAGCAGAACTGATACGACTGCGTATTTCTTTACCACAGCATCAGCTTAGCATACTGCTGGCTTTCAAAAATAAATCCTGTACTCGCTGTGGAGAAAAATTCATTACTTCCTTTGCTACTTTGTTAGCATCATCAGGAAGATCCAGTTTCGAGTTAGACATTATGAATCAGAAGGAAGGAATCAGTCACACCTTTACTGTGAGAGGCTGGGTTTGACTCGAAGCCACCATGTACATCTGTGCACTTTTTATTTTCATCTCTGTACATCAGCAGTAAGCAGCCCGGTGTCTGGATATCCTCTGCTATCTGGAAAAGAGAAACAGAAACATTTTCATTTCCATTACATTGCATTGCCACTGTTTTATTGCAGACCTTCAGAGGGTACTCTTTGTCAGGCTGTCACAGATGTTAAAATCTCACTGAACAGGGAGAGCCATGCCAAGACACAAAAATGGCTTCTACTGTAGATACTCTTATGGATGTGTACTTCTGTACTGCTCCCCTATGAAGGAGCAGTATTCTAAATAATTCTACGAGCTCTTACTACTCAACTTTCCTGCACAAAATCAGCAACACCAAGAGAGGTAAGGACTAGAATTGTGTGTTGTTTTCAAAACTGATACTGTTTGAGTTTCATTGTGTCTTTTAAAGTTGTTCTGATGTTAGTAGAGATCTTCAGTTAAAAATATTTCCAATTAAAAATTGGTCATGTTGTGAATTTACTTGGCATTTCAGTTTCGTCTCTCACCTGGACCTTCCTGGTCTCACTTTTTGGCCTCCCTGGACCCCTCCAGTGTAAAGACTTCAGCCTCCTTGGAACTCTTAAAAAAAATCCCCTTTTCAGATTCTTTGGATCTCTCCAGTCTGAGCTCTTCATCCTCTGTGGAATTTTCCAGTCTCACTTCTTCATCTTCTCTGGACCTTTCCAGTCTCACATCTTCAACCTCTTCAGACTTGTCCAGTACATCCTCTTCAGTCTCCTTAGAGCTCTCCAGTATCACCTCCTCAGATTCCTGGGAGCACTCCAGTTTCACCTCCTCCATTTCACTGGACTTATCAAGTCTCACCTCCTCAGGCTCCCTGAATCTCTCTGGCGACAGTTCCTCGCTCTCTTTAGATCTCTCAAGTCTCACCTCAATACCTTCTCCAGACTTCTCGAGTCCAACTTCTTCATCCTCTTTAGACCTCTCCAGTCTCACTTCTTCACCCTCCCTAGATGCCTCCAGTCGTTCAGCTTCCTTAGATGATTCCTGCGAAATCCCTTCGATCCCAACATGCGTCTCAGAGCAAACCTCAACCTCTTCAGAATCACTGGATCTCACTGATTTTAACTACTTCATGTTTCAGGGCTCCTCTGAGTTACCCTCATCGACTGCTGAGGATGTTTCTAACCTCATCTCTGCACCCTTCACGGATGTCTCCAGCGTCTGCTTTCAGGATTCTTCTCCCCTCACTTCCTCAATTCCTTTGGACATTTCTAACCTCACAACTTCAGCTCCCACTGATGTATCCACTCTCACGTTTCTAGATGTTGCTAATCGCACCTCTTCAGCTTCTCTTGATCTCTGTATTTAACTCTTTTAATATATCCTTTCTTCTCTCTGTAAACTCACTGTACCCTTACAAGCCTCCCTCCTTTGTGTGCTCCTTTTTAACTTATGTTTCCTACGCCTCTAAAAAGATTTTATCTGAAGGGAGATTCACACTTTACAAATACATTCTAGCATTTAAACAAAACTTGAACAGGGCTTGAAAACAGCTTGTACAACTCTACAATGGTGCCTTGTTTACAGGTTTATAAATATCAATATATACTCTGCAATTTTTGTAGAGTTCAATTTCAGTCATTAAGGTAATTTCCATTCTGTCTCAGCATGGTACCTCTCCCACAGATTTAACTTTTAATTCACGCTGACAGTTTGTCTTTCAAAACCTACAAATATTAAATAGAGCTAAATGTGTAAATAATTGCACCCACATCATGCATCTCCAAAACAGACTGAAATCAGAGTGCACTGCACAGAACTGCAGAGGCATTTCACATGAAGATACAGAAAGGGAAGATGTGGTGGGGGGAAAAAACAGCTGATTAAAAAGAGGAACAGGTGAGAGACAGCCAGGTGGGGAGAGAGAACATAGGGACACACAGCAGGAACTCAGGTGTCCATTTCAGCTACAAGAACTTCTGTTCTGCTGAGCCATGTTTATGACCTGGGCAGCTCACAAGGCTTAAACTGTTGGTCCAGACAGAAGGAAACCCTGCTTTCAGAATGTCAGTGTAACTGCAGTGTGATCTCAGCAGAGGCATCAACTGGCAAATAAGGACAGGAAGTTCTGCCTTCCTACTCTCCCTTCCTGGTTGCTGTGCCTATTAATTACACTAATAAGGTAATCATCTTCTCATACTGGCTTATGATACCCTGAAGACAGATGACAATGTACATGGTGAAAAACTGTTTTGTTTTTGTTTTTTTTTCCTGTAAATCTATCCTGTTATCACTACTATGCGGATTGTTAATTACAGCAGCTCTGAGCTGCGATCTCTAATAGAGAACATTATTCTATGCTTTAAAGCTTTGCTATCATCAGTTAAATCATCACTGCACAGTGACGTGACAGCACTCCGTGGTCCCAAAGGTGAGCAAAGAGGAACCAAGTCAGCCCAGGACCTGCATGGCTCCTCAGGGCATCCCACAGGCTGTGTGATGTGGTTTGGTTTTGGAAAGAAGTCACAGGGAAGAGGTATGAATACTTAAATACAAGGATTTAATAAAACAAACAATCCAAGATCTCCTTAGCCCTAATTACTTCGACATTTGCATATTATATATGGGAATCGTCTGTTTTCCCATCATTTACTGAAAAGTGGATCATAGCCTCGAGTTTGCTGTATTTTCTGTGGTTAATCTGTTTGAAGAAAGCATTTCATAGCACTTCAGGTGCGTGAAATAAATGCACCTTACAGCCAAAGGAATCCTACACCGAGGGCACCGTTCAGGACAGGCACAGCTTAAACTCCAAACAAAGGCAGCCTGCACTGCAGCAATCAGTGGCTGCACAGGTTTACAGATCGCTTTCATCCTCACACTCTTAAATTGAAAATGCTGGAAAGTGATGGCAAAAAGAAGGAAAGACAACTGATAGAGCCTGGGGGAAAAGAAAACCCAAAACGCCTTTAACCCTTGCCTGAATTCTTGGATTACACGAGAGCTTCTTAGCGAAGAGTTAACACGTCACCAACATACGTACTTTACGGCCACGTGTAATGCGGCACGTTACCGGCTCTGAACCACTGCAGGCCACGCGCAGACCTTTTCTGGATCCCTGAAGCAAGGCCCAACCGGCCGAATCCGGAGCTGAAGCCGAGACCACCCCGAATCACACCCTGCCCCGGGTAAAACACGCAGAGAACCGCGGGGCGGAGCCACGCTGAGTGCCCAGCGCAACCTCCGCGGAGAGTCGATTCCCTCTCGCGAGACACCTCGAGAAGAAAGGCGGAAGTCGCGCGCCCCGTTCAGCTTGCTGATTGGTCGCTACCAGAGAGCGGTAACTGGGACCAGTGTAACCGGCCGGTTACCATTGGTCAGCTTTCCTAAGGTAAGTCGAATTCTGATTGGAAGAAAGGTCACTCTTGGTTGCTGATTGCCTAGGAAGCAGCGGGGCGGTCTTTCCTCTTCCGGTGGGCGCTGACCTTGTGGGCAGCGGAGCGGCCGTTCATCCGCAGCCATGGTGTCGTACTGGCGGCAGGCCGGGCTCAGGTAGCGCCGGCGGTGGCTGAGGGCGGGCCGGTGCCGTTAGGTTCCCAACTTGATTCTCCTCTCCTTTCTCCTTCTGTTTTCAGCTACATCCGGTACTCCCAGATCTGCGCTCAGGTTGTCAGAGCGGCGATGAAGCCTCAGTACAAAGCTGAGGCGGAGAGGGCGGCGACGGCGACCGTGAAGACTGTGAAGGCCAAGAAGGAATAGCGGGGCCAATAGGTGTGAGCGCGGCGTGTCTCGTGCCGCGGTTGGAGGAGCGGCACGGGGCTCCGTGAGCGGGGCTGGGGCTGCTCTGTGGCAGTGCGGGGATCGCTGCGCTCTGAGCGCAGGGCTCTGCGTTGAAAGGTTTGGGTTTTGTTCGAAGTTATCTGTGCAAAGGCTGCTTGATAGCTGTGGAAGAGACCTGCTGCTTGTATCTCTGTGTGTGACACTGCACGTGCAGCCAGCAGCTCAGGTCTCTTCTGGGCTCTGCCTGAAGCACTACATAACAGGTATTTGCAAGGGCAGTTTTGTGTTGGGGACTGTTACACTGATAGGACAACAGCCTGTCCCCATAAAGTCAGTGTTTGTACCTTAACATTACTGCAATTACGCTAGCAGAGAGTATTGTTGCTGAAAAGTCTTTCTGTAAGATGCTTGTAGCTGACAAGACTGTCATAAAATACATCTCTGTACCAAGGCCTGCAGCTCATAAGGCTTGGTTTTGAAAAAGTTGTTGTAAGTACGATCAGGAGTGATTGATTGCGTTACACATCCAGAAAAAATAAGTGGTGATAACATAAATGTTGCACAGATCTATTCTGGATCTGAGAATAAGCATTGCATTGCTTGAAGTCTACCTGCGTGTGTTCTCTTGAATCGAGTAATTTGTATTTTAAATCTCTCGTAGGAACTGCTCTGTGAACATGAACAGCAAACTGCAAGCTGTAGGCAAGACTGCAGTATAACAGCAACACGTTAACTGTAAAATTTGTCCATGTACATAAATCAGCTAATAAATTTCAGTGCTGAATAAACAAATGAATGTGTGGCAACTGTTGTTCCTTTGGAAACAAACTACTCCCTTTTGCAGAGACACTTATCTTTCGTGTGTGTTAGAATGGATGACTTTTTATCACACTCTACCATTTGTTAGCAACAGATGTTTATTGTCAAGGCAGATCTCTTTGTGGCTTTCATGCTGATATTTCAGGTCTATTAATAAGAGAGAGATGTAAGTGCTGTTTAACATTTTTTTGCCTACTTCATTTCCATAATGAATGAATACTTTTGTGCTCAGAATAAACTTTTTCAGCCAGAGACATTTTGATGCCACTTAAATTAAAGACAAAACAAAGTGGAATACTTCTCCATGGAGGTGCATGTGATCCATCTCCAAGACTGAACCACGATCAATGAATCAGGATTTGGAGGTGGCTCCCTGTATGGGGTGGGAAGTGCAGAAGGCTCTGGACTGTATTACTGTCCCTGTTAGCACTTGGTCATTTTCCCTGTGAGGGAGCAGGCATGGATTCACTAGGAAGCAGCAGGAATGGAGGGGAACACAGTCATTTCCCCTAACCAAGTGAAGATGGAGATGTTTCTGCTGCTGTGTATCTCAACAGCAAGTATAACATTGTCCCTGTGCATAGGAAGGAATATGACGTACTTCCATGACTGGCTTCAGATTTGTGTTTACTGAGATGCTTCTACTGCTGACTATAATACAAAAGACTGAAACATGAGGCATGGCTTTCTTCAGAGTACAACAAAATCTCTTCTGAGAGAACAGTAAAACAAGGTGTTTTGTTTTTTTTTTTTCCAGTAAGAATTTTTAAGTGCATGTTAGTCATTATAAACCATGATTTTTGCCTACTAAATTTTTCAAGTGTTAAAGTATTTTACAGAATGCTGTATATTTTTATTTCAAGGAATGTTATAAATGCAGTGTTAAGTAGATGGCTGTGAAAGGCATATTTTTCTTCCTCAAGGTATTTTTCTTATTTAGTGATTGACATTGAACTTACTTCTCTTATTTAGCTGCAAACCATTCCATCTGTTGCTGTACTGAGTGATAGGAAGAAAATTTACAATAGTTACTACATAGGAGGGAAACAAAAAACCAAAACACCACACCAAAACTGTTAAACTGTTTACAACTTGGTATGCTAGTGTAACTGAAGCTATAGTTTGAAATTGAAATAAGCCACAAAATGAGTACAAGCTCTGCAGTAATGCAAACCAGCAATGTGACAGAACTATTAAAATATATCCTCTTAACAAAATTTAAAAAAAGTGAATATTTAGTCATTTGTTTTTCCCCTTCATTCTGCTGCTAAAGGCTGAAATTGTCTGCAGCTCTAGATCCATCTCTAGAGTGCATGATGGCATGCTGCCTTTATAGGCCCTACACGTGTGTGTTCCCAACACAGCAGCAAGTTCACAAGCAGAACATGGACTGTGGTTACCTGAAAATAAGTAAATCTGACAAGTTTATAACATCTTTTGCAATTGCTTGTGATCCTAATACACACACACAGGCTGTATACTGTATATCTAGCAATAATATTCCAGAAGGGAATACATTTACAAGACTGTTAGGAGGGAACCTGTCTTCATAGTGGATCATTTCTGGGAGTGATTTAGTGTAGACAGGAAAATAGAGCATACCTGCTGTTAATTTCAAAAGCACTGTATTGTAACTTTGGAGAGGAAAATAATCTTAAGGAAGGTGTTATTTTTGTTACGTGGCTTATGGCTGGTGCTTTTCCTTTAGTGAATGACAACAGGCTTACTTGGAGAATGTTTTATACTGCCATTGTTTTTATGTTTCCTTTTCTGGGCTAGCTTCCACTTCTTCGTATTCCTCAACATCTGCAGTGGCATCTTGGTACTGCTGGTACTCAGAAACAAGGTCATTGGTGTTTCCCTCTGCTTCAGAAAACTCCATCTCATCCATGCCTTCTCCAGTGTACCAATGGAGAAACGCTTTTCTTCTGAACATAGCTGAAAACTGCTCAGAAACCCTGATGAAGAGCTCCTGAATGGCCGTGTTATTGCCAATAAAGGTAGCTGCCATCTTCAGTCCTCGCGGTGGTATGTCACACACAGCCACTTTGACATTATTAGGGATCCACTCCACAAAGTGGGAGCTGTTCTTGGTCTGGACAGACAGTAACTGTTCATCCACTTCTCTGGTAGACATTCGGCCCCTGAAGATGCATGCCACAGTCAAATAGCGCCCACGACGGGGGTCGCAGGCTGCCATCATGTTGCGTGCATCAAACATCTGTTGAGTAAGCTCTGGCACTGAGAGGGCTCTGTACTGCTGGCTACCTCGTGCTGTTAGAGGAGCAAAGCCTGGCATAAAGAAATGCAGGCGAGGAAAGGGCACCATGTTAACAGCCAGCTTCCTCAGATCTGCATTCAGCTGACCAGGAAAACGGAGTGAGGTTGTAACACCGCTCATTGTTAGGGACACCAAGTGATTGAGGTCACCGTAGGTGGGATTGGTGAGCTTTAAAGTTCTAAAACATATATCATATAGTGCTTCGTTGTCGATGCAAAAGGTTTCATCTGTATTCTCTATTAGTTGATGGATGGAGAGGATGGCATTATAGGGCTCTACAACTGTGTCAGATACTTTGGGTGAAGGAACAACGCTGAAAGTGTTCATAATTCTGTCGGGATACTCTTCTCTGATTTTGTTGATGAGGAGCGTGCCCATACCTGAGCCCGTACCACCCCCAAGAGAATGGATGAGCTGGAATCCCTGCAGGCAGTCACAGCTCTCACACTCGTTCCTGACCACATCCATGACATTTTCAATCAGTTCAGCTCCTTCTGTGTAATGGCCCTTAGCCCAGTTGTTTCCAGCACCTGAATTACCTGTAAGCAGAATTACAGAAAGAACAACCACATTAACAAGAGTAGGGTTTTTTTTTAGGAGAGGTAAAGGCAAGTTTGGACCATTAGCCTTGGTTGGTTTGCTAACAACAAGCTGTACATACCATGAATAAAATTGTCAGGTCGAAATAGTGGGCCAATTTTGCTAGATCGTACACTGTCCATTGTACCAGGCTCCAGGTCCACCAAGATAGAACGGGGCACATATTTATGGGCTAGGACAAAAGGAAATGAACAACTACTGTTAGAAATAAGAGACAGACTTATAATCTATTCAAAAAAATTCAAGCCACCTACAGGTCTTGGGGAGGGGATTTCTTTAATTCTATTAATTCTTTTAACCTTCCTGTTGGCCCTGCAAATTGCTGACGCCCTGCGTGCTGTGCACTTACAATAAGCCTCATTGAAGTACACGTTAATTCGCTCAAGCTGCAGCGATGCATTCCCACGGTAGTTTCCAGCAATATCAATTCCATGTTCATCACTTATCACCTCCCAGAACTGGAAAAAGAAAGAGGTTCAAAGTCATAATTAATTCATTTTTTCAGTGCGATGTGTACAGCATGAGCTCTGCTGCTCTTGTGCCGGTGGCTGCACACAAGGAGGGAACTGTGCCTGAAGCAAGGAAGGCTTTGCCATTTGTTAATTAGGCTGAAGAGGGTGGAAGAACAATCTGAGTGCAAAAAATGAATGAAATGCAATAGTACCCATCACAGCAGGGATCCTCATCATCCCCCTGCACCTAATAAGTTCAGGAGAAATGCTTAGTAGCCCATTTATGCTGGTTGGATTATTGCCTGTGCACTTTTAAGGTGGAGACCTCAATTCATTCCTTAGCGATAAACTATTGTAAGTTTAAGCAACACAGAAATAGTTTAAATAGCACCAGTATTTGGTATGAATGTAACAAAAACCCAGTGTTGGGGCAGGGAGGGGTGTCTGTCATGGACAAGTGGGGCTGCGGCATGGCAAAGCTGTCTCAGCAAGTATGTTTTATCTTGACATTCATATGGCTGTCCTGTGCTGGGGCTCTTATCTTGGAGCTGCCATAGTGGCAATGTAGACCCACCCAGCTACTATAATGACCCAGCTATTCTAACTTTAAAGATCTTTTGGTTTAACATCCAGTCTCATTTTAACTGTACAAACACAACACTGCCAACATGTGCGTGGTATGTTTATGTATGTGTGCTACTATATAGGTCCTGTTAGACTTAAGTGGTTCCCAGGGCAAATACAATAGAAACATGATTCACCTTTCAACCTTCAGAATGGTTGCACTTAAACTGTGTCTAGCATTACATTTCCTGGCCATCCACAGCTTCACGTGTCAGTAAGAGAAACCAAGGTGACATTTGCAAGAGCGAGAAATGGAGGAAGAACACAAGGGAACAGCACTTCAACTACCATGCTTCTTCAAAGACACCCCCAGTCACTAGTTTTTACTTTTATTTTTTGGTACTACTTCCTACTAATGAACAAAAAAGAACATTTAGGACATCACACAGCAAAAAGTAACATTTGGGTTTTTTTTCCTCCTGGTACATAAAGTTAGCAGCAACTGACCTCTCTAAACCACTGTTTAACCTACAAAAATGGACTCCAAACGACACAGCTGTCTCTCATAGGAGGCTAGTAGGCAGGAGTCCTTAGCTTAGGAAAGCCTAATTGTTCACTGATAGCACAGGGTGTTCTGCAGAATAACACAATCCCATACCAATGATCATTATGTGGCAGTTGGTGCTGTGCACCTGAACTAAAGTACTGCCATGGCAAATTTGCAGTCCTGAAGTCACTGGCTCCTTCACTTGTCCTGGTAATTTGTAGACTGGATTAATGCCCCTGGGAACACAATCCCAGCACACTCTGGAGCACTTACAAACACTGTAATACAGTCATTGCAGATGCTTCACTCTTTGAGTTTCAACCTTTGCATGAAGAGCAGGTCCATCTTACTGTGTTCTCATCAATATACTCACTTTCATGGCTAACATTTTCTTCATCCTATCCCCGAGTCAACAAAGCAATTGACCCTCCTTCAAAATCCCCATCTGTTAACGATGTTTGACTCGGTAGCAATGATAGCACTTATTCCTAATAAGTAATATTGAAAGACCATACCTTAGCTCCAATTTGGTTTCCACACTGGCCAATCTGAAGGTGCACGATCTCACGCATTTTGTGTAGCTTAAGTGTTGGTAGCTGCAACCTGGCACAGCTTTTCCAACTGCAGTCCCTAGGAGAAGCCCTCGTTCTGCTGCTGTATCAGCTACACCCAGCACAGTCTGCCCCTCAGGGCCCTTTTATACTGCTGGGACTGTCACTCTGCCAGCAAGGGGAGTAGCTGACTTCTCACAAGTGGCTCATCAGATGTTTCACAAGGAGGCAAAGCATCTACTCGCCGCTTGGAAGAGACAATTGTCACATAGACACAACACTTAATTCCAGTTCTTTGTGCAGCAGTGTGACTCCAGACTGTGTGCACCGCATTGGTGCTTATGTAGAAATACATATTCATGTAGGAAGAGTACAAGCAAAAATGAACAGCACTAAGTACCTCTGCTTCTACCACATAAACTGTACTCGTAATGAAAGTCACACACTGCAACATCCATAATAAAGACAATAACAGCTTCTGAGCATTAATTCCCTATAATGACAACATTAGCACACTGCCCGGCAAACTTGCAGTTCACTATTAAGCATCATTTGCAGTGTACAATTGCATGAAGAAGAGTGACACCAGCAAGAAAAAATACTTTGTAAGACCTGAACATAACAGTGCACTCCCAATTCCCTGTGTGCTGCTCAAACATTTAATAGGAATCCATAATTTTCAGCCAATCTGAGAACTGGGTCAACCAGTGACCAACTTGCACAGACGCCTTCTCTGTCCCCACTCCTCTCTCCCACCACTAAGAAAGACAATATTTCTTATATTATTTTTCTTATTTTCTTGTATCTGAGGCGTAGCATTGGAATTCTCCAGGAAAATGCTGGAGTGAAATCCCAGTTCTGGTGCAATTTGCTATAACGCCCATAGCGTGAAATGCTTCACTGCACTTCAGGAAATAATGCAAGCCTGAGAGAAACGTGACTGCTGATAAACAGGGCCAATATCATTGAGCAACAGAAGCCCAGGATGGACTGTCTTCTGGAAACAGAGTACTTTGTTTACGTCAGATGACTGACACTGCTTTGCTAGTGTTATTTTTAAGGATAGGAGAAAGAACTATAATTAGGAAAGCACTTTTGGTTATTTTGCATGAAAAGATGGCACTGCAAGGACTTGGCTTTTTGAAAGTAACTTTTACCACATTATGGGTTACTAATGATAAGGAATCTATGAGCTTTCATTTTGTTACAAGAGAAAAATCAGCTTATTCCAGACTTCCCCACCACAGATGACTTCCACTTTCCCACCAGCCAATGCAGGAGCAGATAACTACTTCCAAGACAAAGTTTAGCAACGCAGCCGCATCACAGAAAGGAGCTAGGAAACGCTCTGTCACTCCCTGCCAAGCTATAAACTGTCATTAAAAGCAAAATCCATAATAAAGTAACACGTAAAGTAAATAATGATCTATAAGTAAAGAACTCCAACAGGTCAAGGCTGTGCCCACCACCCTTTGGTGCAGAAGCCTTTTTCCAACATGGAGCCTGACCCCCCACAGCCCTTCTGCTGGGTTCTGATTGGGGGCTGCAAGGACACAAGGTGTCAGACAGCAACTAACAGCAAATAAGTGTTACTTAACATATCCAATGTGTTAATTTACAATAACTAACATTTATGGAGAAGCCAAAGACCCCAATTTTTTGTCCAAAATATGGACAAAATTATGTTTGGCAACATAATTTCAGCAGCACTCACTGAGGGCATTTCAGGGCATTTCACAAGCAGGGGGAAAAAAAGAAGAAAAAAAAAAAAAGAAAAAAAAAAAGAAAAAAAAAGGGAAGTGAAGGAAATATGCAATATACAATCACGAAACATTGTTTTTGTCTCTTGCTAAAAATACCTCCTGGGAGTCATATGCCTCCTCTGAAGCAATTCCTAATGCAGCCTTTATTACTATTGCATGTGACACAAGGAATCCCAGTGCTTTGTAGAAGTGCTTTTGTGCCTCTTTTCTGGCCCTCTATAAGAGCGCTTCTATGTGGCCTCACATCTCCCTTCGTACCAAACCTGTACGAAAAGCACGTTTCTCTCTAGGTTTTGTTTGCAGCTCTGTCACGCTTCATTGCTGAGAAACCTTGAGCCTGTTAGCTTCTCAAGTACACTTCCCAAGGGACAGACATTTGCTGCTGCAGATTAGCAGCATGTGTCACAAGGGAGAGAGGAGACGTGGGGAAGGGTTGGCTCTGAGCAACTTTTGGCACAGCAGAGATTAGGGGCAGCCTGGCACAGAGCCCAGCTGTTACCAGCCTGTCCCCCAGCTCCTGTTATCAGCCTGACCGCTGCTTCCACCACCATCAGAGTGGGCCTGAGATACCAAAGTCTGGTGATGGGTGTAAGGAAGGACCACAAGCAACCTGCATTTGTGGTTACTGGGTTGTTTGATTGTTTATTTGTTCTTTTTTTTTTTTTTTTTTCCTTATTTTTTCACTTTTCACCATTCCAGCACACATTAGCAACAAATATACATATGCAGGGTGGCATTCAGGGACGTTTTTTTCTAACGTAGTTTTGCTTAGAAGGAACCAGTTTTTCCACAGTAGCGGAGAATATATTTTAAATTTGAAATGAAGAGCCACGAACAACATCCTCAGCGCTGTAACTCACCTCATCCCTATCCCAGCCAGCCCGTCCTTTCAATGGCTCTTTCAGACCCGCTCTGCGCTGCCGAGGGGCAAGCAGCCACACCTGCCTTTCAGAGACCCGGCCCGTCCTGCCGCAGCCCCGCTCAGCTCTCGCCGCGCTGTTGGCTTTTTTCCCTTCCTCCTCAGCGCCTCCGTTTCTCTGACCATTAAAGGCACCGTCCTCGCGCCTCTTACAAAACGCGCTGAGAGCCGGGGAGGAGCTGCCTGCGGGCTGCTAAACCTGCTTACAAAGCGGAGCGGGTGGTCTGGCCGCCTGCCCCGGCAGCCCGGAGGGAACTCTTTGCCCCGGCCCGGCGCAGCGCCGCAGCCTCACAACCCGCCGCGCTGCTCACAACCCCCTCGCACCTCCACAAGCGCTCCAAGCGCTTCCCGCGGGGCCGCGCCCGCAGAGCCGAGCGGAGCCGCCCCGCCCGGTCCCAGCCCATCGCTGGGGTCTCCGCCCCGCCCTTCAACGCCGGCGCTGCGGCCGCACGGGGCAGGGAGGTGCTGCGGCGCTCGGCATGGCCGGTCCGGCGCGGCGCCTCGCGGCCCTCCTGCTGCTGCTCTGCGGCTGCCTCTACCCCTGCCGGGCCGGTCTGTACGTCAAGGAAGGGCAGCACTGCTACAAGCCGGCCCCGCGCAGGGCGCCGGGGCTGAGGTGAGTTCTCTCGTCTCTCGCGGGCCGCCGCCCGGCTGCGGGTTGTCCGAGCTGCCCCGGTCCCCTTGCCGCCGTCTTGCCGCAGCCGTGGCGCCCGGCAGCTTGGCGAGGCGGACATCGTCCGGGCGCGGTCGGGAAGCGGCTCCGGGCAGCCCCGAACCCGCGGCTCCGGGATCCGCTGCCCGATCTGCGGCTGTCACGGGGCTGAGGGAAAAGGTCGGCACCGCTCCGCCGTCACGTGACCCGCGCCCCGGGCCGGGCGTTACGAAATGCTGGAAACTCCCGTGTTGTGGTTTTTTGTTTGATTTATTATTTTTTCCTTTTGTCTTTAAATTCCTTTAATTTCCATGAAAATTCCCCTAGTTTGCCTGAAGATGCAGGCAACCAGAGCTCTTCTTTGTCTCCATACAGAACCTACCCCCGGCCTCACGAGTACCTGGACATCGCCAAGCTCCCGCAGAGCTGGGACTGGAGGAACGTCAATGGCGTCAACTACGCCAGCACCACCCGCAACCAGCACATCCCTCAGTACTGCGGGTCCTGCTGGGCCCACGGCAGCACCAGTGCACTGGCAGGTACTGAGAGCTGTGTTCTCACCACCAGCCTCTTGCCCTCGGTGATCTGTAGCTCTTTGCTGAGCAAAGGGTGTTCGGTTTAAGCTTAGAAAACAGCTGATACAAGAGCAGCCAAAGATCACGTGAGGGGGGAGTACTGAGGTGGTTAAAAAGCTGTTTGCAGAAGGATTGTATCTGTAGTACCTGCCAAGCTGCTATCTAGAGCAGGAATTCAGCATTCTGTTGAAGGACGCTTATAAACAGGAGGGAGACTGACTTTTTATGTGGCCTGACAGCAATAGGACAAGGGGAATGGTTTTAAACTAGAAGAGGGGAGATTCAGGTTAGATGTTAGGGGAAGAATTTTCACTCGGAGCGGCGAGGCTGTGACAGTGCTGCCCAGAGCTGTGGGTGCCCCATCCCTGCAGGCTCCCAGGGCCAGGCTGATCTGGTGAGAGCAGCCTCCCCATGGCAGGGGTTGGGGCTTTAAAGTCCCTGCCAACCCAACCCATTCTATTATTCTTCTTGGAGGGGCAATGAGGGTAGAAGCAAATACAAAAGCAGTCTGTGTGTCCCCATCCCTTTGTTGGTAGCTCAGCCTGCTGCACCCCCTGCTAAGGCAGCAAAAGGCCCTGCTGTGCTGAGACATGAGGAAATGAAAGTTTCCACTTATGGGAAGGGCCCTGTTAATTCAAATGAACTGACTACCACAGCATACAGACAAAGCTCTGTGAAAGTGTAGCTGAATGTCACATGTCTAATAGGGTTAGAAGAACGGTTGTGTCAGTTAAGATTGTTAATGCCCTGTGAGAAGCACCTTGTAAATATCGATTAGGAAGCCTTTCTGTCAGGTAAGCAGCTGTTTCAGAAAAAATAAGGCAGCAGGATGGCAATACCCATCCGAGAGCAGATGGTGAGATGTTTTTGCAGCAGTGTGGGTATACTTCTCTGAAAGTTTTTTAACTGCTTCAAGCTTGTGACTGCTGTTCCTGGAGCCAGACAGCTGTGCTGCATGGGCTTATGACTAGCAGCTGGTTTCATGATTTGTATTTTGATTTGAATTAAGAGCTCAAGGGCACTTCAAGGGTTTGAACAGATCTTATTATCTGCATCTTGTTGCTGAGCTTTTAATGGAAAAGGCTTGTAATGAAAACCCACAGCCACTCAGCCTGCCTCGTGCTATGTGCCTTTCTGCAATAGAGGCTTTTCCAACCACAAAAACTGTTGCTTACAAGTAGTTACAGGTTCACTGAAGGAGGCAGTTTTAACATTAGATGCAGTGTTTAACAGCCCAAGTGCTCCAGTAACAACTACTTACTGCTACTTATACTTTTATTTTTTTATATTGCAGATCGAATCAACATAAAGAGGAAAGGTGCATGGCCTTCTGCCTATCTCTCAGTGCAGAATGTGATTGACTGTGCTAATGCAGGATCCTGTGAAGGTGGAGACCACACGGGTGTTTGGATGTATGCCCATGACCATGGGATTCCAGACGAGACCTGTAACAACTACCAAGCTAAGAACCAAAGTATGATGCCTGTTTGCTTTGCAGTAGGGTTTCTGTCCAAATGCAGAAGATCTTGATCGCTTCCTGGGTTTTGCATTTACTCGTTCCTGCCTTTCAGTGTAGTACCTGCTGCCTGACTAACAGAACAGGTTTCTGTGTGTCTTCCACTCTAGCTAGACAGCATAACGCGAATCGTGTCCAAACAAGCTAAACCACCTAAACTGTCTAAATTTGATCTCTTAAGTCTGCGATACACAATCTCTAATGTACCAAAATACTCAGGAGTATCTCCTCAACCTAAAAAAAGAAGAAATGAAATGTTTGTTCTAGTATTACTGGAATGATTTTTGTTTTTGTAGAGAAGCACGCTGCATCATCCAGCATTTGTGCCTATTCTGAAAAGAACAGTAACTAATGATGATAGAAGCTCCAAGTATAATTTCCAGAAAAACAATTAGTTCATTAGAGATATGTATCAGTAATTATTCCTTACAGGATCTTCCTCAAATTAAGTGTAAAAGAAAAAAAAAAAAAATAGCATGGTATCATTAATTCACTTGAAGAAAAGCATTCTCTTGTGGTGATAATTTCTTTCACTTTGCAGAGTGCAAGAAGTTTAACCAGTGTGGAACCTGTGTCACTTTTGGAGAATGCCACGTGATTAAGAACTACACCCTCTGGAAAGTTGCTGACTATGGTGCTGTCAGCGGAAGGGAAAAAATGATGGCAGAAATCTATGCTAATGGACCAATTAGGTAAATAAATACACACATATTAAAACCAAAAGGTAGAAAAAAGGAAAACGTTTATGTACTAGTAATGTTTGGATTGAAATATCTGGAACTCAGTCTAATGCCTGAAGTGAATTTCTGTGCTCCAGCAGATGTTAGCAGCTCTGCACTAATGCACACTTCAGCTTGTTTGTAGATAAACTGAGCTCTGAAGTCAAAATGCAAAAAAAAAAAAAAAAAAGGGTGGTGTTTTTTGTGGGTTTTTTCTTTTTTGCTTTTTAGCCAGGCCTCCAACCTGATTCCTGTGTATAAAGCTGCTTGCTCTGTTTCATTACAGCTGTGGTATAATGGCTACTGAGAAGCTGGATGCTTACACTGGAGGACTCTATACCGAGTACAACCCCTCACCCACAGTGAATCACATTGTATCTGTGGCTGGCTGGGGTGTAGAAAATGGAACAGAATACTGGATTGTTCGTAACTCATGGGGTGAACCCTGGGTAAGGAAGCATGGGAAGAAAGATGCTTACAGAATTACTTTAGAGGAACAGTGGAGTTTTCTCCACTTGCAGAGAGGTAGTTTTTCTACTTGCAAGGGGAGTTTGCAGCTAGGGAAAATAAAACTTTCTCTGAACTAGATTTTCAGTTAATTAAAAATGGGAACTGCCTAAGCTGAGGACTGAGATACTTGGCTAAAACCACTTAGCTAACGTCTACTTGATCTCAAATGCTGCCCTTTGTTGGGCACACGCCTTCTGTACAGGCAGCTGCAAATAGGTTGGTAGTAGGCAAAAATCAAGTCTTGGATGCAGGATATTTATCTAAAGGGGATGTAAATTCACCATGGCAAATTGCCCCTTCAAACAGGATTGTCCTGTGACCCTACTGCAATGCTTCTGCACTGAATTCCAAGATTCACTTCTAGATCATTCCCATTTAGAAAACAGAACAGATTCAACAGCATAATTATGTTTTCAAAGTCACAACGTCTCTGCTTATACTGACGCAAATTAATTCTCTGCAGGGTGAAAGAGGGTGGCTCAGAATTGTGACAAGTGCATATAAAGGTGGAAGAGGAGCAGAGTACAACCTTGCTGTTGAAGAGGACTGCGCGTATGGAGATGTTATCCTTCCTTGACTCTACACTGTACACCTTTTTTTTAGTAACTTTGGAATCTTCCCAGCACAACCTTGTTCTGTTTAAAGAAAAGCCTAAAACTTTCACAGGGCAGCTCTATCATGCTGTTGTGCAAAACTAGCCCAGATAATGCAACACTGAATCTTCAAAGTAAAACAAATAAAAGCTGCCTTCAGAAAATAATTTGGAATTTAAAAATTAAAGAAGTAATTTACCTATGAAAACGGTTGTCTGCCTTGTTGCACAGTACTTTAAATCAGACTGTCTTCCAAATCTTTGTGTGTGTATATATATATATATACTTTTTTATAAAGACAAATTGCATAGTGTACTAAGACAGAAAAAGTACACACAGTATTTGGATCTAGAGCTTATACTGAAGTAACAAATAATTGTATGATATTTGCTTAATACTTTATGCAGATTTAAAAACAAACTTTTAACTCTGGACATGATACGCTCGAAAACTAAATCCTCCTTAGTCTACTAGTGAAAAAAATGTTGCTGTAAGTCTTATTGTTTTTATCCAACCAAACCGATAGCAGGATTTAAATCTTTCATTTGTTCCAATTCCTTGCTTTAATTTATGACTAGCTTTGATATTTTGCTTCTAGAAAGGCAAAGTATAAATTGCTACAAGCCAGAGCTTTCCTCCTGCTCACCAATATGAGGAAAGGCTGCAAAATTCTCTTCCCTAAAGCTGAGTCAATTACTAAGTGGCAATCAGTGCTATAGCAAGTGTCACTAACTGCCATTGTCAATTGTATTTAATAAACTGACAACATTATCTTACGTGATTGCATGCAATTTTAAGAGTTTATTAATACTTGTTTATTGCTGTACCTGACAAGAAGTCTCACATGGCAGCGTCGTTAGCTGAGGTAGCACTGCTGTAACTGAACTTGTAGGAGGGCTGCTCCATGCCACAGTATGTAGCAACTATGATGGTTTTTTTATTAAATAACCTCAAGTGAAGTTCCATTACACACACTGGAGCCTGAGCTACAACTTAGGAGGAAACTGTTGAGGGATAGCAGGGAACAAAGAAACATTCCGATGGTGTACAATACAACTTAGTAATCAATCTCCAAAAACAACTGCAAATCAAACTAACCTGTGAATTATGCCTCACTCAAACCTCACCGGTGTAGACAAGAAGCAGAGCAGTTTCTGTTATCTGTTGTCTCTCGGTGGGCAATTTCTGCAACTTACCTTGGCTTTATCTGTCAAAGCAAGAGCAGTTTGTTCATCATCAGAAGGTAAGTTAGGGCTGGCAGAGTGGTGAAGACCCACAAATGAGTAAGGCTACTGGAGTCAAGGGTGAAATTAAGATTGTTGTGCTGTTCTGATTCTCTCTGATATCTAAGAACGTGTTTTAGACTAGTTAGGCCACATTCCAGCAGGCATTAAAGAACTGGAATAGACATTGTACTGGTTAGTTCCATGTGCCTCTTTGCTTTACCTTAGGAAAGTGACTTCACAGTGCCACTAAGGACTAATTCTGCCAAACTGCAATGCCTAGTGTAAGTTAAGTCTCATTCAGCAGAATAAGGGAGTGTAGCAGTACTGGCAATAGCACTGTTAAGTATTAACTAATCAAGTATCACTTAGGTGAATGCAGAATTCAAGTGTTTAGAGGAAGGGATAATAAGCTTGAACGCTGAGAAACGTGAAGAAGTATGATTTGTTTGAACAGCTGGCCAATTTGCAATGGAGGCAGGAACAAACTGCTGCTGATTATCGCTAAGATGATACATGAGGCAGGGCTACAGTCTAAAATGAAGTTTTGTAGGGCAAGTTGTTTCTGCAGCTGTTAATTCAACTAAGAGGAAGTCAAGAACCAAATATGTATGATGATTCTACACAAATAGTATGAAAGAGAAGATCTCATGGAAGTTTAAGCGCTTAGATATCTACCCAAAGATAGGCACAGAAAGGAAGGTTTGAAGCTGTGCCTAGAAAACCTGCCAGCAATGCAAGGGAAGAGCTGAAGAAAGGAAAGATGCACTCCTTGTAGAAAGGAGTGAAGAATCTGTGCACCCAGCTTCTGTCTCAAGCTGTCATGGCAGCCTGGAGTTTCCATTCATAAATCGCTGACAGCAGAAAAGAGCAAAGCGATTTGGTTTTTTTAATTTATAAAACAGTTGGACCTAAAACTTTCACCTTTGTCTTTTAGAAAACAGGTTTCTCAGGAAGCAGATGTGCTTGTAAGGCACATCCAGGCTTGTTTGTGCCCATTTGCCCATTTTAAATACTTTACATCTACAGGAGAAATCCAGGATGATGAACAGAAACAAAGAATGGACTGATACACTGTTAGAAGTCTCTGGAAAAGAACAGACCTTTATTTAAAGAGACATTAAAATCTTGGGCTAATCCCCCACTGTTCAGCATCAACCAGAACAGAGTAGAGATAAGTATTAAAAAAAAACCAAGTCACATCACAGTAACATTTTTGCACGCTTATTTTTCAGACAGCAACAGAATTCTGATGTGGTAATGAAACTTACCAGTAACATTTAGTGCATCTATTTAACAAAAAATAGATTCTGAAGGATACCACTCTCACATCAGATTCATGTGTTAATACAAAACTAACCCTGATTGCTCCAACTCCATCTGTATTACCTAAAATGTGGGTTTTTTTCATTGCAGTATGTGTGTAGCATATTTAGAATTCTAATATAACACAAAGGTGAGGGAGAGGCGTTATGGATTCTCTGCAGCACAGAACTAAGTACACAGATTTTTTCCTTTTTTAGGCTCACAAGATGAAAGCTGACAGCATTCAAGATTTAATCATCAGAGAACTATCTGAAAAATGTTTTTAGTGGAACTACCTGCCCCGTTCTTCAGGTTTTCATATATGTTACACAGAGTCAGAGACAAGTTCTGCAAGTAGCTGAAAAGAACATTCTTTGAGACAAGTCTGCCTTCTGCTGCCCTCTTCAGAATATTCAGATTTATGCTATTTAACATTAGAGAATCCTTCAGTATTGTTTCATCTTCCCAATTGCATTAACAATCCGCTGACAGAAGGCTTAAGGTCACCATGCAAATCAAATGCCCTTCAGCCCTTTCTTCCTTTTTTTTTTTGTTGCTGGGTTGCCCAGTTACAGAACCTCACTGGTGGAGAATGTGTCAGAGCAGCGACCACGTGCTCTGCATTCTTGACTTTTCCACTGCTTAGTTCATCACGATAAAGTTAGATTTGCAGTGAGCTTAAAAGAAGAAATGGAATAAAGTGTTCAGTACATTACTCTGATTTATTTGCTTGCATGTGGATTTCTCTATTATGTTATTAATTAGATTTTAAGAACCAGATCACTTTAGTCCAGGAAATGGGTGTACTATGAAAGACCACTTCCTTCCTTTACTTTCTCTAAGACAGTAGCACCTCTTCAGAAACAGCATTTGTCTTTAAGCTCCTCACTACTACTCAGATTCCTAATTAAAGGAAAATTGCTAAACATAGGTCCATAAAAACAAAATAATCTTAAAATATCTGGTAGGCATTCCTATTTTAGCAATCCTCCTCCTAAGAGTCGTTTACAAATTGTAACAAATACACAAAGAAGCATGACTTACCTATAAACTCAGTGACAGGATCATGTTCACCTTCTGTTTTAATAGTACCTGCAATACTTTCATTCTCCAAGATTGGAAGAAAAAGCTGTACGAAATCTGAGGTATAAGGAGGAGCAATCACATCCAGCACCTGAAATGCAGACAGAACAGGATCATTCTTGCAGGTAGACAAGTGGTAGAGGCAGTATTTAATTCACAGTCTTCTCATAGGCACTCAAGTAGTTGCACTTTTGAGACCTTTCTTCCTCCACGCAAGTTACCAACTACATATTCTTGTGGTACTCTACCCATTACTTTAATACCTTCAGAAATCAAAATTCAGTAGACATGTATTGCTCAGAATCTGCTTTCATACCAATGAGAATTTCTGAACTTGAGGCAAGCTCACTTACCATCCAGACACATAGATCAAATATTAAAGCTTATATCTGTATGTTAACAGTTTTTGCTGCTGACCTCTGTAACAAAGTATCTGATGAGAGAGATATCTGTGTCTAACTTCTCCAGGCATTTGCGGATATAGCTGACCACAGGCAGGACGTATCCTCGACTAAGTAAGTGCACCATTCTATCCAAGAGAGTCTTCTTCAGTTCCAGCTGATAAGGAGGGAAGGGTTGGAGGTGGGAAGAAAACCAACAGGTCAGGACTCTCAAAACAGGACTATTTTCATTGCTTTTTTCATGGATTCAATATCTACTGTGATGCTTGCTAACCGTGATCATGTTCCTTAATTAAACTCTTAAAGCTGCTGTGATAACAACTTTATTCTAAGCAAGCATATATAATATGAAGGAACATAAAAAAGGAATCCTCTGAGAATCACCTGCTCCATTACGTCAAGCTGTGAATGTTCTGTTTCAAAGAGTTTGACAAGAAGCTGTAAAACCTGTGGATGAAGCAGCTGATGGCACGTACTGATCTGCAAACAAGATGAGAAATTCATCTTTAAACTTCACTTTAAAAACCAACATGCTGGGCCTGGTAGAAAAGTTTGCATTCATATTCACTGTCAGAGGTAAATTCTTTTATAAAAAATTATTCCACTACACAGAGCTGACAAATCCAAATATCTGAAGAGAAACAGATCCATCTTTGTATGTTTACTGACTGTGAATTGGATATAATTCTAGTTACAAGGATTAAAATTGCTTTTGCTCTCAACAGGACTTATTTGTACATTTGTACCTCATCCAATAATGCCAGATGAACAGGAGTGTGATCAGTCTGCAGCTGGAAGTACCGGGGCTCTGACACTGTCCAATCCACCCACTTTAATACACCCATTGCCACCACTGGAAACCTGCAGAGGAAGAGATCACTTTAGAAAAGGACCATCCAAACAACCAGCCACCGCTGGAAGATGTTCCAGTACATTCTAATGATTGCTAGAATGTCATAGTCTACCTCAGGCCAGAACTAATAACATTTGAAAAGCTTTGATTGAAAAGTTGTCATCACATCAAGATGAGTCCCATCAAAACAGAAGGAAAAAAAAAAATGGCTGGAGAAAAATTCTTTCTATAAGATACTTCCTACTCAGCACAAAATGCTAAAAGCAGTCAACATAATTAACATACACTCAAAGTTTGTTCCAGTTTGTTCAATATCTGCTATTTCAGAAGACGTATCTATTGCTAAGAAGGCTTCATTGGGAAGACAAAACAATCCCGTGGCAGAGCCAAACATGCTCTGCAATGCAAGAGGGGCAATTTGTCAGTCAGCCAGAATTTATGTCTTCATGAAGGGAGGATTTCAAGAAGTCCAATGGCTAATCTTGAAAGCTGCTTTCAGACCACATCTCACTTGTTCTGAAGTAAGGATGCTCTCACAGAGCTGCCCACAAAGGCACTTCCCTGTAGCATTAGTCATAAAATGGTACTTTCCTTCCAACAAAGAGAAGTTAGGACTGGTTTCTCTGCTCACCTGATGCACTGATAAAGGGTGCTCAGCTCTGCAACCAATTCTGATGCTCCTTTGTTCTCATTGCAACACAGATTGTGAACAGTTTCAATGGCTTTTGAAGTTGATTTCAGCTCATCCTTGTTTATGCTCACTCTCTTGTTCTGAAAAATGCAAAGTTTGAATACAAAGCCCACAAACATACAGGGAGTTTCTGGTTATTTAAGCAAAGGAAGTGTAGCTTGCCATAACCCTACGATTACTTTGTATTTCTCAAAAGTTAGATTCATAAGCAAGCTTTAGAAGAAAAAAGTATCATTGAGCTGAAATAAAAGGATATTTGATTTATTTAATGCCTAGGTCACTGATAATTTTTCTTCTAAAAACTTGCATATGAATCCTGAAACATTTCTCATTAAAATAAACAAACCAAGCCATTTTAAAGTGACCAAGTTAATGACCATGCATTTATTCAGCACAGTTAGACTGCAGGGTGAAAAGAACACATTGTGACCAGGACTGAACTTTACCTTTTTCCACATCTCCACTACACTGGCTGCATATGCCAGTATGTGAATGTATTTATGCTTGTGGTCCTGGTTGATCTTAGCACCTGGCTTAAACAGTGACTGCATGAAGAGGTCCAGAAAGGCAGGCACTCGGATCTGAAGAAAATGAACAGTTCATCAGAGTCAGAGAATTATGAAAAAAGTACATTTTTTATCTGATACGCCTTCCAGAGAATGAGACATAAAAAAATTCCTCCTCAAGAGGAAGTCAGATGGTTTTCTGAAGAGATCTGAAGTTTTGACAACCACACTCAAAACAAGCAAACAAAAGAGCAGAAGGTTACAAACAGTGCAGAAAGCACACTATTATTCAAGTATCCAAACACCATCATTTATTACCAGAACTCATGTGAGAACAAGGCAGCAAGAAACCTGACACACGCCATTTAGGACTGCTCATAACTAACTGCAAAGCTGATTTTGTTGTTTGTTTGTTCTAAGGAAGGAATTTAATTCCTTATCTCCAACCTATTAGGAAGTTTCAAAAATTAATTTATTCTATGTAAAAAGACAACTTGAAATAATTAAAAATAAAAACAAAACAAAAACAACCATGCAAGGAGCCAATGCAAAATACAGTATAAATAGTAATCCCACATTTTGACATCACTTAAAATGGTAGAGGGATGAGCCAGAGTGTAACTTCTGTTCTGTGCTGATACATTTAGCACAAGACCTCAGAATTTTGAGTCCTACTGTAATAGAAGAAGTTTACAGATGTTATGAAGAGACAGCTACTGACCAGTTCTACTGGAGGTGGGTCCATGCTGGTAAACATTTTGAACAAGACAGTAATATCTGCTGGATTCAGAGCTCCTTTGGACAGCATTGCACCGAGAGCCTGGCAGGCACGAGGGTAGGAGGCTGCAGTACCCAGTGCTAAAGTGATCTGACTGGCATCGTGGCCTCTAGGTGAGCAACACAAACATACAAAGCAGCTGATTTTTTTCATTTAGACATCTTGGCTGTAGCTTCAACAACAGGGCACATCTGATGCAACGCATCCTTTACCGTGGCTGATTACAGAAACGGGCCTGTATTTCCCATGTTTGATTCTAAAACGTGCATCAAATAACAAAAATGATTATTTTTAATAGGACACCAAGAGCTGATGACTCCACTTCAGGTCTCCCAGTACTTGATGTGAAACGTCTCTCATTCTATGGATTTTAAGTCTACAGAAAAAAAGTGCTCTATTCCAAGTGATTTCACTCTACCACAGTGTGAATAAAAAGCTAAGAATTCCCCTTTTGCTGGCCTAAGGTAAGTGTGAATGACTAAAAGAAGCAGTTCTACAAATCGTGGTGACTCGTATTCGACTCATGGAGGCAACAGGCACTTACTTCTCATGAGCATATCGCTGAACCTCCTGGGCGATCCGCCTGACAGCAGACCCTCCTTGCTCTTCTTGAGCCAATATGGACATCATAGATTGAGCAAAAAGGTACGTGTGCTCTCCGTGGCACACCATCTTCTGTGAACACACACGTCAAAAACGTTATCAGACAACAAGAAATATGTCTCTTCTGCTGCCTTAACAGCAAGGCTTTCACCAAAATCCACTCAAATGAAAAGGGAGAAGGGGAAGCAATCGATGGCCGAGAAGGAAGTGCAGAAAAGCTGTCTACTGCTGTGCACTGATACAAGAAGACATGGTTACATTGAAAACTTGTATTTGTTAGATGTCAGAGGAAATTCTAGCCTGCTAACCTTCAGTACTATTTAAAAAGTAAGCCAAATAGAAAGCCATCTAAGTCATCACACCATCTCACATTAAAGAACACATGCTATGTTAATTTAGTTAGAAACTTTCACACTGACATGGACAATAAAACAATTCTTTTGATTAGCCAAGGAACTGATTAGGCTGACCTCGAGATCTTGCATTAATGTAAAAGAAGACAGTACTGCTTTTTATGAGGGCTGTTCCAAAAGTAATGCCCCCTGTGTGACCTGGTGTAGGGAACCTGCTTTGGCAGGGAGGCTGGACTCCATCATCTCTGGAGGTCCCTTCCAACCCCTATGATTCTGTGGCTGTATGATGTCGGCCCACCACCTCAGGGGCAGATGTTGGTGCCATGGCAGTGAGGTTGAACCTTCCCACCAATGTCCTGAAATATGCTGCTGCTGTGTGATGGATGGCAGCACAGGGGCAGACTGACAGAACAGCATCTGACATGGGAGTGCGTAAGGAGCAAAGGTGTGCCAATGAACTCTTGGTGTGGGAAAACCTGCAACTACTGGCGTTCATCAATGCTTGCTGAATGTTTATGGAGACCACACAGGGGCTGTGAGCACAGTGATGTGGTGGGTGGTGCCTTTCAGCAGTGCTGACAGTGACCACCTCTGCTGGTGCAGCTTTGTAGGAGCGCAGCATGCAGCTCTGGGTCACTGCTGGCAAAAACGCACAGCTAAAGGTGGTAGCTGCACTGAAAATTGGTGTTTTGTGGCTGAGAATTTGCACTAACAAATTGTGTCGTTGTGCTTTTTGTATCTGTGGTAGTTCCCATGGAAATAAATAAGAGGAGTTGCTTTCAGAGTGACCTACAGACTTTAAACAATCTATTTGATAAACATAGGAAACGCCACACACCTTGCCCAAAACGTTCCTGGCAACAGAACAAACCAATTTTTATTTTTGAATTCATATATAACTCTTCTTTGTAAGATTCTGCATGACTTCATAAGATGCCAAGGTATCCTGCAATCCCACAATGATCTGTACATCCTAACTGGAAAGGAACAAAAACTACTTTTTGAAACATAAAAAGGAATAAAGGACTCACAGCGAACTCTGGGAGGTTTTTTTCAAGGTTTTCTTCCCCTCCATCTAAAATTGTTGCCAGAGATGTACGCAGAACTCTGGAAAACACCTCCAGTTGCTGACAGGCTGTTGAAACACTGGTTATTTCTCCTTGATAACCAGCGTCAGATATAAGCTGTAACAAAACAACAGCAATAAAAAGTCACAGCAGACATGTATTACTTAGTATTTCAGATATCCCAGCAAGTCTAGAACACACAGAATATGAGATTTTCACCTGCATACATTTATTCACTTCATGTTCATGACTTAGACCACACAAAAGGAAAGTAAACCATCTTGCTTTGTTCTGAAATAGATACATTCTAATATTTCCTTTCCCTATCTCAGAGACATAAGAAGCTGAAGTGTTCCATTAAAGCACAAATTGATAGATATTTGTGGTTTGCATAGGAAACTGCACGAATTATATCTTCCATAAGGTATATTATACAGGAATTATACCTTCCATAAGGTATAATACCTTCCTATAAGGAGAGACCATCTTCTGACATGAGATTTCGTGCTTTTACTCTGTGTGAGCCAACAACATCCATAAGGCAAGATCAGAACTGGTGTATTTTGTACTCATAAATACAGATCTGTACATATGTAATAAATACAATTACCAGTAACAGGGCTTTATGCACACACATATATGCCATCTGCAAAAGTCCAGGAGAGGTTTGCAGGGTTTTTTCCCTACAAGTACTTCCCAGTACATACAAAATAAATCTGTTGTTATGGCACAAAAGCAAGGAAAATAAGTAAGGGAAACAGACAGCCTTGCTGTTTTTCTCTTAAGCAGCATACTAAAGTTTCACTGTTAAATCAGAACAAAGGTTTATCTGAAAGCAAATTTACAACCCAGTAAATATAAAAACGTTGCTTAGAAAACAGGTGATGCAGAATTTCCAAACCCCAGGCAGAGCAAAAAAACCTCCAAAAGCAGAACATCAAATTGGAAAATGACATTCACAACTTGTAGGGCAATTTCTTCCACATTTTAATAAGCAGCATCAACAGGAACGCAGATGAGTTACAGGTAACACTACAGCCCACATTTGATGCCAGAACAATAAACCTGTTAAGGATATTCTTACATATTGCACTTCAGTGAATTACCTTCACAGTAAAATTAAGCATTAAACAGTCTGGATGGGCTTCTGCCAACTTGTAGAAGAGATCTCTCCATGTTGTATGTGCTATCATTTGCTCAAGCCAAGCTGGAGTCTGAAAAGATTAAAGCAACAGAAACAATTATAAGAATTTCAACCTGTGAAGATCGTTGAAGTAAGCATTTTACTTTTAAGAATCCAATGAGTTGCTATAAAGGACTTTACCATATCCATATAACTTTCCTAAATTATCAAAACCTCTCAGGAGTCCATTGAAATACTGATGGTTTTCCAAACGTGGTTATTTCTTAACTAAAGAGCTTGGGAGACACCTTTACCCACCACCCACACAAAGACTTCTGCCCAGGCACAAGTGGATACTCATGTATGATGACAACACAGCTTTCATCCATACCTCTCCTTCCTCTGTAAAGATGGAATCTGCTTTCCGAGGGTCAAAGTGCTTGATCAGTAAGCTCTTCAAGTGGTTTTCTACGGTCTCCTGAACTTGCACTGGCTCAACACCTGTACAGAAGGGGGAAAGAAAAAACTTAGTCGATGCAATCTGATCAAGCCTCTTACATTTTCCAATAACATTCTGTTATGGGAACAGGAAGCACTCAACAATTTAGTAGTAATTTATCGTTAGGCAAAAGATGGGAAAAGAGCCATCAGCTCTATTATCAAGCCACACAGTTACACACGTCCAGATTCACAAATTGTCATTCATTTTTCCTAAATGCAGTCTGCACTGAGGAACACAAGCAGGTTACACCACCCATCTTCTATGCTTCCTTCAGCAATCAGGATAACAGCAACGCCAGTAATCACACAATCATTACTGGGTGTTACACAAAAATATCCTAAACGCAAAAGGAATTACCAGGATGGTGCAGCACTGAGAAGTTACACGAGGATAGGAAGGAATGGTAATACTCATCCTGAAGATATTTTTCACGTAATGAAGAATTTAGTGGTGTACAGGACAAATGTAATACGATCCAGTCTCGGATTTACCACCAATTCACATTCTTTTGGTGCAAGCCAGCCTACAGACCCAAGTTACAGAGCATCACCCACTGCACCTGTCTGAATGAGCCACTCTGCCAGCAGGTTCACCGTCTGTGCCACTGCCGTGTAGTTTTCAGACAGAAGTTGGATAACATTCTCTGGAGAACCTCCTGCTTGGAAATACCTGATGGCAAGATCAGAGAAGAGCTGCTAGAAAATTACGTTTAAAGGAGGAAAAAAAAAGGACACCTCTCACATTTCCACATAAAACAGCAGCACGGCACAGGGAGCTGCGCTCACCTTTTCAGTGTGTTAAATATCGACGGCTCCATGATGTAGTCAGGGGTTGAAAACTTCTTCAGGCACTCCTGCTGGACTTCAGCATCATCTTCTCCCTCCCCATCCTCATCATCTTGCTGGTTGCAAACACAACACGTCAGCCACCTCCACTACTTCTGGTGCCCCCCCTCTATTTCCATAGGCAGGCCGTTTTTGCTCACACGCAGCACCGCAGCACACGACCCGTTCCCCAGAGACACGCCGTAACACAGCAGGCACCAACCCAGCCCACCTCGCTGCCGTTCCCTTCCTTTCGACGCCCCTCCGAGCCCCCCTGCCCGCACCGAGGCTCCGCACCGAGGCTCCGCCCGCCCAGCCGCCTCATGCCCGCCGCCGGGCCGCCCCGCGCCCTCAGCGCTCACCGCTCCTCCGTCCGCTTCGTTGCCCCACTCCGCCGCGCCGCCCTCGAAGTAATCCGCATCCTCCATGGCTCCACGGCCAAAGAACCGCGGCCACAGCCGGAACCAGGCCGCGGCCCGCCCCTGGGCGGAGCGACGCGGAATGGCGGGCCGGGCTGCGGGGCGGGGCCGAGGGGCGGCGCCGGGGCTCGGAGCGGTTCGTTGCGGTTCGTTGCGGGGCGGAGGTCGCCGTGTCGGGGCCGCGGGACGAGGTGTGGGCCGTCAGCTGGAGAACGGGCCGAGAGCGGGACTGCGGCACGCGGGAACGCAGCGCCCACACGAGCGGGAGAGCGGCGGAGTGCTGCGGATCCGGCAGGCAGAGCCGGAGCGGAGAGAACGGTTTCGGAAATAATGAAAATCAGTCTGAGAGCTTCAGTGGAACAACTGGCCCTTGGTTTGAACTGCGCGCTCTCATCTGTGTTTCTCTCATTTCTGTCCACCTCAGCATACAAAGAAGAAACAGCACTCAGGCTGACCCAGGTGTCCCCGGCAGCTTTTGCTGTCCTGCAGCGCATTGCCCACCCAGCACACCTGGCTCCTGTGTGAAAAATCCTTCAGCTGCGGTTCCCAAGGAGCGAGGGTCCGATGGGGCACGGAGCGCCGATATCTGAGCTGGATAAGCGCTCAGTGCGGCACTGCGGCCATTAGGGAACTGGGAGATGTGGGTGAAGGAATGGGGGAAACCCTTTTTGTAGGGGTGGGGATGGGAACTGCTCCTCTGAAGGATGAACAGATGCACCAGGTACCTAATGGCGATGTTTAGAACCCACCCGTTTATCCAATTTTGTTACTGGTCTTTTGAGCAAATTGCTGAACAGCTTTGAGATTTCTAACCTGAAGTGCTTCATGTGGTACAGGTATGAAATCACCAAATTTCATTTGGTTTCCTGCCTGCAACAAGAGAGATATCCCAGACTGAAGGGCTGACCTCCAACAAAAACGTTTGCCTTCTAGCCCAATTTTTTTAAATACCCATCCTGGAATTCTGTGTACGCTCATTCTCTCTGCTCCTTGCCCCCTACAAATTGGTGCTGAAAGAACTCGCGTTTTGCATTACCCCTCTGCAAATCAGACAATGCAGTTAACATGAGATAAGGCATTAACTTTCCCATTCAGGAGGAAAGTACAGCAGCATCAAGTCAGGCCAGTGAGTTTTGTCTGAAGCATGATACTTCAAGCATGACCTTGAGACTCGCTGGTAGCAGGGCTATTCCAGGAACTGAAGAGTACAAAACTGTTCTGTAAGAGGGAAGCATCCAGAGACAGAACACGGTAGCTAAGTTGAAGACATAACATCATTCTAATACCCTTCAAATTTCAGCTTAAAAATTAGAGCTCTATTTATATCCCAAGGGCTGCTTGAGAGCAGTTTTACGATGCTCTGAGTACTTTTCAAGATAAGCCAACAGTGGAAATGTTTTCCTGTTTCAAAAGCATGTTCCACTGTTCACTTGCATACCGATCAGTGGACAAAATGGTTAAACTGCACCTACTGAAGCTCCCCCCAGTTCCCTAAGTGCACGTTCTGTCATTCCTTACTTGGGGACACCCTGCATCCAAAGGGAGCACTCTTGTGCTCTGCTGGACAGAACCATTGGTTGCAGGCTCGCCAGTTTTAAGTCACAGATAGATGACAACAGCCACTGCCTGCACTGGGCCTTCAGATGGACCTTTGTAGCCCAGCACTGCTGGCAAAGCTGCGGGAAACAGACCTCAAGGTTAGCATCCAAACCTTCATTTTGGATGTTATGCTTACAAGTAAAAAGTGAGCAAAAATTGAAACTACTGAGATACATGTGAATCATCACACACACTTCAGGAAAGACATGCTGTGCTCTAGGTCAGTACAAAACATCTTTCATTAATACCTCCAAGTTTTACATGGACACACATTTGGTTTTAACACAGCACTCCTCTTCTGATACTGCCATGAGAATACCAATAAAATACCAGATGTGAAGAGGAACGGAGCCCCTCTCCAAGCAGCCTGCCATTCACACACCTGATGAGGGGATCCAGAACTTACACAGCAGTTCTTTTCTCTGCATGATCTCTGCTGGCACCCCAGCATTTTGGTTGTAAGAACGATAACATTCCAAATTCATGTCAAATACAGGGAAAACTACAAACAGAAACACTATTCTTCACTGCTAATGATGCATATAGAATTCACAACTTAAAAACGTTACCCAGTTTGCACACCAGAATGATGGCGTGGAGGGAAGTCCTGACCTTACTACCTCTGGGCGAAGCCTGTTCTTCATCCAAACTGGAGTAGTAATTGATTATGAACAAAAGCATTACCCTCTGATTTAATATCACAACTGGGTGAATTAAAGTGAAGAGAAACATTCACATTTTGATTTGTTCCCATTTGTTTAGTGGGACCTCAACCACGGGCAGCGGCACCCAACTTCTCCCTCCAAGTTTTACCGTTCCCTCTGGGCTGAGGACCTGCCTAAAGCCTTCATTTTTTCTTGTCATTAAAAGCTTTCCGAGGCAGAATTCCTAAGAGGAAAAAAAAAAAAAAAAAAAAAAAGGAAAAAGCTGTTGTTCCTACTTTAACATTTTCTGTAAAATAAAAATCAGGTGCTTGGTCAGTTACCCTTGTTGCACAGGTACCCATAAGCACTTGTTTGTGTTGTTAACCTACAGAAGAGCTCCCTGTTTCTGCTCAGAACCTTGCCAGGTTCATAGAACTCAGAATTTATTTTTAAAAACCTTATCATCTTTATGTGTTTAATGCAGTGAGAAATGATCACAGCACCTCACCAAGCTGCTCTCCCCAGCAGAAATGTGCATTAAACTGCATCCACTTTGCTCAGCTCAGCACAGAAACAGTCAGGGTGAAAAACAGCTTTAACCTCTGATAACATGAAACATCAGAACTGCAAACAATTAAAGGGCAGTACTAAGGGCTGGAATTTCAGCTGTCACTGCAATACAGAAATACCTGAAGCACTTCTTTCTATCCAGTCACCAAAACACATGGGCTCACAGTACTGAGCTCACTGGTTACGACCGGCTTTAGAACACGTCCCCTCTGTGAATCTGTCCCGTCAGTCAGCAGATTTCTCAGTGAAAGGCTTCCACCAGCAGAGCTTCAGAACCCATTTTGCAGCTTATTTTATTTCCAAAGATACTTCAAAGTTCTTCAGAAAGACTTCTTCCCAGTGGACAAGTTTTTGAAATCGTCAAGCTGCAGAAGAAGGGTTCACTTCTTCTCTTGGACTGCAAACAGATGTTTGCTCGTAAGTTCTTTTATTGTTACACAAACTGTCCTTTTTTTTTAGGTATGAGATCTGCTCCAGTTTCCACTGACAGCAGCCTGCAGCCCTGATGCTGCTGCTTGTGGTTAGTGGGAATTTTATCACTGAGTTCCACAGAAGAGGTGTTGTAAGTGCTGGCACTGTTAGGAACACACACAGCCCATGAGATTGGCTGGGGGGAAAGAAGAGAATTTGCTCTCTTCCAGGACACTTTACATCACTGTACAGCTGCAACATCATCGTTATTCATCTTGGACACTGTGCAGCACCAATCCCAAGCTGTACTGGGATCACTAAGGCACTGCATGGTACCTGACTGCACGGGTTCTGTCTCCTCATCTGCGGTCAATTTCCTCCACAATCACATTTATAACTTTTGTTTTTCCTGCTACATCATTTTTGACATCTGAAAATGGAAAACAATACAAAACATCCCAATCACTTCCAGGAGCTGTGCCACAACTAATTACAAGGTGCTCGGACTTTAAAGCATGGTCGTTAATATTCCTGTGCATAGATTTACTGGGAAAAGCAAATTATGCTGCCGGTATCAATTGCGTGCAACACACTGAAACAGAGTTAGCTTCAGCTCCTCCAAAGCTAATGGCATTCTCTAGGTTAAATCCTATCCTCAGAGCTGTGATTCAAAACACTTCTCAGACAAACGAAGATTGGCCCCTAGGGCTCCTATCTGGCAACCGCCCCAATGCGCCGTCCTGCTTTTGCATCAAAGCCTGCTTCCAACAACTCTCACAGCTCCAGTTTGAGCCTCTAACAGAGCAGTTTCCTGATGCTTTCAGAAGCTGCTGAATGTTTTTGTTTGCTTTATAAGTCTGCAGTCAATTTATCTCTCCACATTATTAAGAACCTTCAGGAGGTATCACTAACCTGCTGCATCACAGTGGCTGCTGAGCGGGTACTGATGTACAGATTGCTAAAAGTTCTTGCATTGAAATAAGTTACTGCAAATGGACAGTAGCTGATTTTGAAACCACAACATCTCTACAATTTATTATTATTTTTTACAAAATACCCAAAGTGATCAGACCATATTGTAGGTTACTGGCTTGCCAAAGGTTATGTTTTTAAATCAAAACCATTTCTGAGTTACAGAAGTGCCAAAAACAATCTTGAACCAGTATTTTTTTTTTTTTAAACCAACCCCCATCCAACGGAACAGTTGAATAACTTAAAACAGAAACAAGAGTTTGTGTTGGAGACTGCTTAAAAACCAACCCACCGAATCATGCTAGAGCAGTAGCCTTGTATGGCAAAGATTGAGCTTAGGGCAATTTAGTGCCAAGATATAGACCCTTGATAATGGAAATACTGACACAACCTCAGCTACAGTGATGCAAATGTGCCCTAAAACACTGTATTTGCTTTTATTAATAAAAGTGGTAGTGTTTACATTTGCAGGTATCTTACACTTCAGCATCACAACGAATACTGAGTAGAATGAGTAAAATTTTGGCTGTAAGGTCAGAAGTTTCCAAACAGATGAATGAGACAGAAGTGAAAGTCCTCAATCATAAAAACAAGAAGTTCAAATAAATAAATAAAACAAAACTAGGAAATATGGGTAAGCATTAGGTTGGAATGGTTCAATTAACTGCTAATTATGGCCGCTAAATTAGAGAGACAGAAGAAAACACAGTAACTTATTAAATAGCAAGCATTAAAGCTTTATGGTTTTGTAATTAAAAAAAAAAAAAAAAAAAAAAAGCAGCTGTTAAAAATAAGACTTGCGTTTACCAGGCCACCAAACTGCATGGACTAATAAAGAGACTAACAAAGGCAATACTGAGACATTAAGACACACACTCCATACTT